GGTTTGGTTAGAGTTATTCACAGATTGGAACCAAATCTGAAATGCCAACCCCAGATGAAAGCCAGACCTGAAAACAACTGAAAGGGTTTTCCATGGACAAAATCAAGAAGAACAAATCCAGTTTCTCAAAAGGTTATTCAATCTAAACTTAGTTCTTAGACAAGGATGGAATATCAGTTGATAAAGACTGATATGTCCTTACCAGTATAGATTAAAGCTACCCAAGAGATAATACCAAATGATAAGTCTCAACATTTGACCTATGTACCTTGTAAACATTCAAATAACTGTCAGTGCTGAAAATGGATAAGAATTGGAAATTATTTTTGGAAACATATTTATTACATTCATTAAACCCCTCATAGTTCTCTCAGTGACTCTGCTATAAAGAATGCCATTTAAAATATGCATGCTTGTGAAGGGGTGCTGAGCGGAATCAGTAGGTAAAGAAATATTTGTTTAGTGGTTACAAAACCACTAAACAGAGGCAGAAAACATACATAAGACTTTTCTTTTAGAGAAAATCATGTAACCTGCAGATTAAAATAAATAAATAAAAACAAAATATCCAGCAATGAAAATCAGTAACCCACCTTGGTTAAAACCAGTGAGCTATGCTAAATTCTGCACTGAGTTTCCATAAAGATACTTATACACAGAAAGGAGATATTTTGAAAATTGTTTTCCTGTTGATCTAGACAGGAAACCAGGCCTATACAGCACTAACACTTTATTTGCATTTAGTAACTGTTAAATTTCAAATCATTATCTTTTCAAATTGCCCAGCAATTATCTCTTTTTAAGATTTTATTTTTAAGTAATCTCTACGCCCAATGTGAGGCTCAAACTCACAACCCCAGGATCAAGAGTCACATGCTCTACCGACTGAGCCAGCCAGGCACCCCCCAGCAATTATCATCTTGCCACATACTTTGCTCTAATGAAACTCAAATATCACGACCAACTTTTTTTGTTGTTTTAATTCTAAGTAAGAGATAGGTAGAACGGGATTTGAACATAGAAGGTATAGGTTTGGATCTTACAGTAAATGTGGTATCAGGTCTCATTTTCGCATCTGTAAAATAGGAGTATCTTCTTACTTTTTGTGACATGGTGAAGGTAATGAGAATCTAATGGCGTCTATATAAAGATGGTGGATTAAACACATTCTTCCTAAAACCCAAATGCAACATCAATACAAATAATTTTATAAGGCATAAATCCACAATGGTGGAGCAGGGAAAGAAACTATAGAAACAAATATTGGAGACAAGAAGATAGACAAGTGGTAATCAAACTGGCAAACCCAAGAAAGCTGAATCTTAAACCAACAGTGGGGAAATCTAGCTTAAGATTTATTAAAAGGTTCAGGAATTGATGAAACCTTCTAAAGGTGTGTGTGTGTGTGTGTAGATAATATTGATAAAGGAGAACTGTTTGAAAGATGATGCAATTGGGTCTCTGTATTCCTCTCCCACTCCATGTGCTTGGGCAAGCTGCCCATCCCCTACCCTGGCAGATGTCTGGAAATTTATTCTCTGGAAAGAGTAAAGCACAGGATCGCTTCATTTGGGTAGCATCACACACAGATGAGCAGACAGGGTCCATAACAAAACCCAAGAAGATAAAGTGAAAGAATTCACAGTATTCTAAGACATTCACCACTCACCTACCCAACTCTCTATGCCAGGAACATTGGCAATCACAGACCTGGACCATCCTCTGAGCAGGAGACAGAAGGAGTCTTCCTTGGAGACTTCCTTGGAGACTCAAATTACCAACTTAATAGAAAAGACCCAAATATACTGACGTCAGTGGTTCTCTAATTTAGAGCATCACACACACTCAGAGCTTCCAATCAGTTTTGGTGTCTTCCATTATTTAACGTGAATGGAAAAATCACTGACTACCAACATCCAAGGAAAATCTCTCATATAAAAAACACAGAAAATAACAACAGCACATGGGGGGCGGGAAAGACACTCAGAGGAAACACACTGTGAAGGAAGGAGAAAACTTCAAATTAATATCATTAATATCCTTAGACAGATAAGAAAATGTATTACATCCATGAAACATAAATGAGATGCTATTTAAGAAAGAAAACAAACAAAATTAAAAAAGCTTTTGGAAAATAGTAACATTAGAGCAGAAATGAAAAACCCAATATAAGGTTAAAAAGCAAAATTAAGAAAAACTCCCAGAAAGTGGAACTAAAATACAAAGATAGAAAATAGAAAATAAAATATAATAAAAAGAGAGGATAAGTCACAGACATCCAACAACTAATTAATAGGAGTTGCAGAAAGAGAGAATGTAAGAAATGATGAGAGGAACTTGGCAAAGAAATCATTCCAGAATATATCCCAAAGTAAAGGACACTAATTTCCCAATAGAGAAATCCCACCAAAAGCCAGCACAATAAATGAAAACAAACTCATGCCAAGACCTATTATTGTGAAATTTCATAATAGTGAGAGCAAACAGAAGATCCCAAAATCTTTCAGAATGTAAAAATAAATGGTTTTCAGAATGGCATTGGATTTCCCCAGAATCCTAAAACCTAGAAGATAATGGATCAATGTCTTCAAAATTCTGAAATTTTCTTAGTTCCAATCTAGAATTCCACACTCAAGCAAATTATTAACCAACTATGAAGCTGGAATATATACATTTCTGAATATGCAAAGCCCCAAATGATTTTACTCCCATACAACTTGGCTAAGAATGCTACTGGAGGATAGGCTCCATTACAATGAGAGAGTAAACCAAGAAAGAGGAATACACAAGATTCAAGAAACCAGAGATCCAACACAGGAGACAGGTGAAGGTAATCTCTGAGACGATGATGAACGGGAGATCCTAGAATACCAGATCTCTCAATTCTAGAGCACAATCAGTTTAGACTGGAGCATATATAAGAAGGTCACTACTAGCAATCATTCTAAGACAAACAAACAAAAACCCAAAACAGCTGAATTTGACAGATTATCTGATACACGTGAACATGGTCTCAGAAGATGGAAGACAATTTGAAGATAAATTAATATAAGGTACATACAAAATTAAGCAAATAAAAAATGAAATAATTATTAAATCCAAAAAAAAGCAAGAAGTTACTCAAGCAAAGAAATCTAATCAGCACACTCCATAGCTCAGCCATGAAAATAATACATGATTTTTTTTTAAAGATTTTATTTATTCATTTGAGAGAGAGAGAGAGCATGAGCCGGGGGGAGAGGGAGAGGGAGAAGCAGACTCCTCGCTGATCAGGGAACCCGACACAGGGCTGGACCCCAGGATCATGACCCGAGCCGAAGGCAGCCACTTAACAGACTGAGCCACCCAGGCACCCCAAAAATAATACATGATTAACTGAATATTGACATAACCAAAATCTATGCCTTAATTGGGATGTCAGAGAGGAAATATCTGTGTGTAGCAGATGCAGAATCCAAGAGTTAACTCCGTATCTTTTACATTAGGAAGTCAACAGATTATCTCTAAGTGTGTAAAATCAAGAAATAGCAGGGTAAGTTTGTTATCTGGACATATTGGAAAATATTAGAAGGACAGCTGAAAGGGTAAATATGGTTGCTTTTGGGGAGTGGGAATTGGGAAGGGGAAGGGATAAAAGTCAAGGATTGCTATTTTCCATAGTAAGCGTCATTTAACTTTGAAAACAATGTATATATACAACTTCGATAAAAATTAAAACCTGTAAAAAAAACAATGATATATTTTTCCTTATTGGCCCAGCAAGTCTGTTGAAACACAAATCAATGAAGCAGTTTGAGCAAAGACCTTCCATGCATGCATGTGTAGTAAATGCATTCGCTTGGCCCAAAGAGAAGTATGAGTTAGGTCAGAATTATGAGACAAGTTTATGAGACAGCTCCATGAAATGGATCAAGTTCTCACTCTCAGAGCTTATCTGGTGGGGTTCTCAACCTTAATTGCATACTAGATTCATTTGGGGAGTTTTAAAAAAACTCTTGATGCCCACAGCATCCTAGACCAATCAAGTCAGGATCTTCTTCAAAGTACCTTCAATGATTCCAATGTGTAGTGAAGGTAGAAAACATGACCCGAAGGCATGAGTTCATGAGACTGGCTATCTGCCATTTCCCAAAGCCATCAGAGCCCAGGATAAGGTAGAGACACATGCTTAATGGGGAGAGAAGTTGGGTATCCTTCCCTGTACCAGGTCCAACCTGCACTTCTTACCCAATCCCACTCTCAACTGGCACAGTTATATGAATATGTCTTCTGGGTCATTGTAGGGAATGTACTCTCAACAAGGTGTGATCTGGGGCGCCTGGGTGGCTCAGCGAGTTAAGCCTCTGCCTTGGGCTCAGGTCACATCCCGAGGTCCTGGGATCAAGTCCTCCATCGGGCTCCCTGCCTGTCGCTCCCCCTGCTTGTGCTCTCGCGCCCTCTCTGGCAAATGAATAAATAAAATCTTTAAAAAAGAATTATTTTTTTTAAAGATTTTATTTATTTGAGAGAGAGAGCATGAGCAGGGGGGAGAGGAAGAGGGAGAAGCAGACTCCCCACTGAGCAGGGAGACTGATACGAGGCTCAATCCCAGGACCCTGAGATCATGACCTTAGCCGAAGGCAGATGCTTAACTGACTGAGCCACGAAGGCCCCCCCCAAAAAGAATTATTAAAAAAACAAAACAAAACAGGGTGTCATCTTCCCCTCCCTCACTCGCCAGAAGAGCTCTGACTGGTCAAAATCTAAGCCACCTATGGGGAGTGGGCCTTGAAGGCAGAGACCAGGCCCTCTTCTTTCCCCTTTATCCCTAGTGACCAGCAAAGTGGACCATTTTTTTTTCTGTTTCCAGGCCACCGGCCGTCACAGGGTGGGCTGAGGCACACTGGCCTCCTTTGTTTCCTGAGAATTCAGTGAATGGGGAACAGGACACTGACTCGGGCTACTCGGGATGCCACAACAGAATACCATAGATTGGTGGCTTGAAAACAACAGGCACCTACCTCTAGCGTGACCTCCACTTCTGGAGGCTGGAAGTCTGAAGTCAGGGTGTCAGCAGGGTTGGGTTCTGGTGACAACTCTCTTCTTACAGAATGCTACCTTCTTGTGTCCTCACATGATCTCTTCTTTGTGCACAAATAAGAAGGAGGATGGGGGGGCAGAGAGTCAGACACAGACAGAAACCGACAAAGAGAGACGAGAGGGAGGGCTCTCTAATCCCATCAGAAGGGCCCCACCCTATGACCTCACCTAAATCTAATTACCTCCCAGAGGCCTCACCTCCAAATACCATCAAATTGGGAGTTAGGGCTTTAACATATGAATGGGGGGAGGGAGGCACAAATATTTAGTTCTTAACAGATGTGTTGGGCCTCTGGCCTGGCCCTTGCCTCCAGCACAGTCTTCCAGGGGTTACCAAGCTTTTGACTAAGTCTCAGTACCTGGAAGGGTATTTTTAAAATCCACCCAGCCATCGATCTTTGCGTGTGCTCTTCTTCAGTTCAAACACCTCAGAGAGTGAATGGGAAAATTTAACTTCTGAATACTTTACTAGAAGCACTCATTATAGATTTTATAGGGAAATGTCGAGCTGGTCCTCCACTGCCCTGATGGCCTAAAGAAGCAGCTGATGTTTTCCATTTTTCTCCCCGATCAAGTAGTATAAGCGTTTCAAATACAGAGTGGGGAATTAATGCTGAGCACTGTAGGAAACCAAGAAGAAAGACTCCTAGCTCACGAAGCAGGGGTGAAACTCAAAATATGTCACATGGGCAGAGGTTTAGGCAATGATTATTTACAAGTCAATATAAGAGGATTTCAATATATTAGCAGTATGCCCCCGTGTCTGGGTGGGTGACACACGGTAATCCCAGTGTGGTCCAACTAAATATTAGCCTTGCCCCAAAGCGCTTATGCGTGCAATGCAGCGTGTGCATTAATGAATTCAGGAATGCACTGAGGAATGCTAAAGGTATGGAAGCAAAGCCAAGCTGGAGCCTCCCGCCCCACACCCCTCACCTTCTCCTTTCTGTTGTGAACCTTGGAGTCCTCCACCTGGGGCGATCCAGCCACCAAGGGGTGCCGTGCCTAGAGACAGGGCCTGGCATTAGTTATAAACCTGAATCAGCCTTGCCACCAGACAGGCCCTGGCTTGGGATAATAGAGAAGGGAAAAGAAAAAAAGAGGTCCTTCGATTGGTCTGGAGACAGGGAGGGAGGGTCACCAGCAGAGTGAAGAGGAGGCTCCGTTCGAGTTGCCTCAAATTACATCTGTCCACACACGCATGCGAAATGTTGCTTAAAAAATAAATGAGGTTAATTTCTCTTTACGGGTTCCCTTTCATCTCAGGGTTTCAAAGCACTTTGCCACAAAAGATCTCCATCTTCACTCCTTTTTAAATCTAAATATAAACGGAGGGCCCTAAGGGTTAAAGTTCGGTAAAGCCCTTTGAACTGTGGAAAGGAAAAGCATTAAAGAAAAAAAATTATTTTGTATCATTAGAAGAGCCGAGTGGCCAACCAGGGTCCACACAGCCACAAACCTCCCGTTCTGAAGAAAGGCCACGCCTCCGCTCGGATGACACGCTTGCTAATTAAAATCACAATTAAAACCAGCAGGGAAGATGGAGGGCCGGACTACGACGCCCTTCCCCAGAAACAAACAGTCAGCTTGACTCACACAGGATACATCAGATTTTCTCCAGCAGGCATTTGGAGAGAAGGAGAGAAATTCGAGTCCAGGCCGCCCTCCATCTCCTGACCCAGTAAACCCCGTGTCTGGGTGGGTGACACATCCCTGACTCGCTGCCACCTCAGCGGAGTCCCAGTGCGGGACGAGCCAGCTTGGCTTCCTGTGCTTGGAAATGTTTGCATCTGCATTTTTCAGCAAAGGAAAGTCTCCAAATCTCCCCAGTTCCAGCATGTGAGTCATTAGTGGGTGTTTGTATTTGGGGTTCTGGGTTTGAGTCACCACCCTTCCTGCTGTCGGGCTCCTCCATCCAGGGGGAGCAGTCGAAAAGAGAGAAGCAGAAATGTGGGTGATGGCAAAAGCGGGCACCCTAAAGTGGGTCGGCTGGGCCGTTGTATCAGCAGCTCCTTGTAAAGATCACTCCTCTCGTAAACAAGTATCTAACATTTATAAATAACAGTAGGAAAGAGGAAGGGGGAGGAAGGAAGAGAAATAAGTCTATAAAGGATGTGATTGAGCTAAGCGGAAGTAGAGTCTAGTCAAAGTAAAAATAGGCAACTGCCTGTTTGTCAGCTAATGGAGGGATGGGGCTGCTGGTGTTGATCAAACTAGGGGTGTAGCTCTCTGGCACCAATCCTCATGGCCCTGGCAGTGTAGCCAAGGAGGGGGTGGTGTGTGTAGGTGGGGCTGCCAATATCCCCGGACAATTCTGGAATCAGAAAGACCACCCTGGCTTTGAAAGGCTATCTTCCTGATATTCCCTCACTTCAGTGCTATGCCTGGCACCATTTATTCCTGGAAAGGACCTCAAGACCACCCAGAATTCTACAACGGGAGTGTTCTACAAGGTCCCAGTGCCATGCTGGGACCAGGTGCCAAAAACCACCAGCTTGAAAACAAGTGATCTGACCATCTGGGCTGCCCTAACAGCTGGTTTTTACTTTACTGACACTGACCATGGAAGATGGTTGGAAAAAATAAAGGTGATCATAAAAATATAAACACAAAACAAACCAAAAAAAAAAATCAGGTTTTGAGCTCCTGGACAGCTCAGCCAGATCTGACCCAGGGAAGGCATCTGACCACAGGCCTTCCAGTTTCCCTTTTAGAAAGCAGAGAGACTGCAAGTGAAAAGAGGTTCAACTTTTCAACTGGTGTGAGTGTGGAACTCAAAACTGGACCTGTTGTATGCAGTTGGGGGCTGGATACTATGTTTTATCTCAAGTATATATAATTAAAAGATATCTGGAGGCCCACACACTCTTGCTACATTAGGGACTTGATGAAGCTCAGAAAAACAGCTCCTGCCCTACCAGCCTTCCAAATGTTAGTCAACCTACACAAATCCTTGGCAGAAAAGTTGACACAATGAAAATGAACTCTGCTGTCATTCTAGACTGAGTCACAAAGGAAGGAAGAAGTACTATTTGATTCAAAACATTCTTATTTGGGGGAGATCTATTATAATGCACATCACCACCAAATGAAAAACAAAGGTTGTAAACTCAGGAGCTATTTTCCTGGGACCTTGACATTTTAAAATAAAACCCTTCATTGTTTACAGAATACTTTTCATATTAATGTCTCAGTTTCTTGTTCTTCAAGATAATTATCTGTGGGTATTACAGAACTTCCTGAACTACCCATTTTCTGTGGGCACATAACATTTGAAAGATCCCTGAGGCCTGTTTCAAAACAAAACAAAGCACAACAAAACACAAATTAAAACACACTCTTGACTGTGACATTCTGTTTAAGTCATTATTCATGACACAGCTTTAAAAATTCTTGAAAAAAAGTGAAGACCTGGGATTTGACTCCGGAGTTACTCACTTTCCTCGAATAATTCTCCTAACCTGCTCAGTCTTGTGTACCACTTCTTGGAAAAGTGACTGATGTTCTCCAATCTTACGGCAACCCATCATATAGCTTCCATATCCAAACTGAGCTTGCTGCCCAGCTGAGAATATCTTAAGTAGGCCCATAGAGATCATGTCTTTTCTGTTACCCTGATTCTTTAGCTGTAGATATCAATGTAGGTTCCATACCTGATCCAACTCAGGCCAATTAGAGTGCTGCCTTGGAATTTTGTCAAACTGCAATGTGGCAGGGGCGCCTGGGTGGCTCAGTCGTTAAGCATCTGCCTTCTGCTTGGGTCATGATCCCAGGGTCCTGGGATGGATCCCCGCATCGGGCTCTCTGCTCAGCGGGAAGCCTGCTTCTCCCTCTCCCACTCCCCCTGCTGTGTTCCCTCTCTCGCTGTGACTCTCTGTCAAATGAATAAAAAAAATCTTCAAAAAAAAAAAAAAAAAAAACCAATGTGGCAAAGAATCCCATACTCTTGATGAGAGCATGAGATGTGCAATTCTTTTCAGAGGAAAAAAAAATGAACTCACACCTAGAGAGGTGAGACAGAAAGTGCTGGCTACATTTGAGCTTTTGGTTCCATTTGTCCCTAAGATCATTCAGCTTGTCTTCAAGCATATGATATCCCAGAATCCTTTAAAAAATTATCTCTGCTACCCTTCCCACCCCCACCCCAAGCTACTTAGGTTTCTAACCCACCAAAAAAGAGTCCTATTAAATATAGTAATCCATTTGATTGTGAAAAATAAATAAATCTTTAAAGATCCAAGGAACTCCACAGAGATATTTATTTATGTTGTTAAGAATCTTTCAAGTGTCGGGCGCCTGGGTGGCTCAGTTGGTTAAGCGACTGCCTTCGGCTCAGGTCATGATCCTGGAGTCCCGGGATCGAGTCCCACATCGGGCTCCCTGCTCGGCGGGGAGTCTGCTTCTCCCTCTGACCCTCCTCCCTCTCATGCTCTCTGTCTCTCATTCTCTCTCTCAAATAAATAAATAAAATTAAAAAAAAAAAAAGTATAAAAAAAAAAAAGAATCTTTCAAGTGTCTGGACAGCACACATTGTAGGATGTGCCACACTTATAGGCTGTGAGACCAGGGGATAGCATCTCCACCCTTCTAGGAGCTAAAGGACTTGTCTGACATAATTAGCTTTGTTTCCATGGGAATTACTGTCTCTTGTTTACTGTATATTCCTGCCCTCCCCAAACCCCCCAACAGGAACTATACAAGGCAGGGATATTGGTTTTGTTCACTGATGTATCCAGCACCCAGAACAGGACTTTGTATACAGTAGGCTCTCAAGAAAGATTTACTAAGTGAATGAGCTAACCTTTGTCTATGTCCAGACCGTGTTAGGTAGGTTAGCTCTTCAAGGGTGCTAGGCTTAGAGACAGAAGGAATAATAAAATTGAAAAGAGGAAAGATAGACTCTAAGATACTTGGAACAAAAAGCAACCTTAAAGATCAAAAGAGAACTATTTTTAAATTTAACAATTTGGAAGGGAGCCTGAGGGGCAGCTCAGACGGTTGAGCATTGGACTCTCGGTTTCTGCTCAGGTCATGATCTCAGGGTCATGAGATTGAGCCCCGCATGGGACTCTGAGCTCAAAGGGGTCTGATTGAGATTCCCTCTCCCTCTGCTCCTCCCCGACCCCCACTGCTCACGCTTGTGCTCTCTCTCAAATAAATAAAATCTTTTAAAAAAAAATAACCATTTGGAAACCTTTTGCTAACATCTGTTTCAGCAATCGATCAACAGATGAAGCAAATGTATCTCTCTCCATCCCACCTTTATTTCCTATTTTACTTACTGCTGGTTATATCATTATATATTCTTTCCTTCCTTTAGTAATAGGACCCCTTCAATTTTAGTTAAGCAAATGGCAGCCCGACCAAGAACCAGCAGCTAGATAAGGTCATGTGACTAAGCTTTGACCAATAGAATGTTAGCAGAAGTGAATGGGTTTTTTTTTTTTTTCTGAATTATGCCTTTTTTTTTAAAGATTTATTGATTGATTTATTTGAGGGGGTGGGGGAGGGGCAGAGGGAGAGGAAGAGAGAAACTCAAGCAGACTCCGTGCTGAGCACAGAGCCGGGGCTCCATCTCACAACCCTGAGATCTTGACCTGAGCTGAAACCAAGAGTTGGGCACTTCAACCGACTGCAGCACCCCGGCACCTCTGAGTTATGCCTTTAAAAGGCATGAGTATGCTCACTCCTCAGACCTTTTTTTTCTTCCCACTGACTATGATACAAGTATAATGGCAGAATATTGGGGAAGACCAGTAAAAAGACATGATTGCTGGCTGATCCATGAGCTGGACCCAGGCACTTAGAGGCTCAGCCCCTCCCCTGTTCTGAGAATGTGGGTTCCGTTTGTCTTTCCCACTCCCAGAGGCTGCTCCAAGGACACAGCCTCGAGATAGTGATATGATGAGAACACCTGCGCGGTACATGTGGCTGAACCCAGTTAAGGTCTCTTTATGAACTTTTAAGATATGGTGGGAAGGCGGGCGCCTGGGTGGCTCAGTCGGTTAAGCGACTGCCTTCGGCTCAGGTCATGATCCTGGAGTCCCGGGATCGAGTCCCGCATCGGGCTCCCTGCTCGGCGGGGAGTCTGCTTCTGCCTCTGACCCTCCCCCCTCTCATGTGCGCTCTCTCTCTCTCTCATTCTCTCTGTCTCAAATAAATAAATAAATAAATAAATCTTAAAAAAAAAAAAGATATGGTGGGAAGGTGAGGGGATCCATTCATCTTGCTGCTGCCCACTACAAGCCTTGTATATAAGTTCACTTTACTCATTAAACCTGCCACCCACCACCTTGGAGTGGCCGGCCTCTTTCTTCGATCTCTCTCCCTGCCCTGCACATACGGGGGCCGGTTTCAGATTATAGCCAGAAGGCTCCTGAGAGGGTTGCAAACTGGCACAGAACCCAGACTAGCCATCTTAGACTGCCAAAGGGAAGCTTTATGCCAAGGATGGCAGCATAAAAATATAGAAGTTAAGGCTTATGACAGATTGGATGTGCCATATTAACCCCTCACATTTGGATAGTTAACATGAAGGAAAAGTAACTGTCTATTTTATTTGAGACACTTCTATGTTTGGGTCTTTGTTATTATAGCTGAAGCTGCATAGTAACTAACACACTAACAGTCAAAATTAATCTGAGCTGGAACTTTCCCTATCTTCAACTGGCTCACACCACATTTATGTTTTTTAAGTTTTGGGTTTTTTTTTAAAGTTTATTTATTTTTTAAAGATTTTATTTATTTTTTTTTAAGATTTTATTTATTTATTTGAGACAGAGAGAGTGAGCACATGAGCAGGGGGAGGGGCAGAGAGAGAAGACTCCCCTCTGAGCACACAGCCCACCCCTGAACAGACTGAGCCACCCAGGTGCCCCAAAGATTTTATTTTTAAGTAACCTTTACACCCGATGTGGGGCTTGACTTTACAACCCTGAGATCAAGAGTTTC